CTTTCCTTAACGAAATATTGTAATAAGTATATTGTATTATATTGAATTCTCCCTGTGTTATTTTTGTAAGAATTTTTTTTTTTAATATATTCTTGGCTTGTTCACAATATTCATTTGTTTTCTATTATAGTTTTTATTTTGCAACTTTTAATTAGTTTTCGTGTAAATATATGTTACATCACAACCCATAAGTAGAATTTACTTTTGTAATTTATTAATTTTATTTTTAGATACCACTTTATTATTGTTACTTACTATTAAGAATATTGTCCTGTAAATGGGAAACTGTTGGGCAATAAAGCTATTATTATTATTATTATTATTATTATTATAATTTCTGCAATTTTTGTGTCATTTCTCGCAGTTTGTGGTCGACCGGGACGAGGTTCATCTTCAACTAATTCACAACCGTCTTTAAACTTTTTATGCCACTCAAACACTCTGCATCGTGATAAACTATTATCTAGATATGCACCTTTAATCATTTCAAAAGTTTCAGTTGGTGTTTTACCCAATCGAACACAAAATTTTATCGCGTATCTTTGCTCCACTTTCATTTTTCGATGGGTACGCAAAACACTGACAATTCAATAATTAATTTGTAACAAATGTCAAAAGATAAATCAAAGCCTACTTGCGGGGTAGTACATTAAATATAAGGCTTTCATGTCTCATTTTTTGGGTTATAAAATGTTACCTATGAAAGAAGTTATAGCACCAGTCTCGTTATATACTGATATATCCTCGTACAAACGTTTAGCTAAAAGACCGTTTCCGTTCGCTCTTCCATAAATAAAATGCATATCTGTCAGTTCAAGTACAGTGTATTCCATATCCATAATTTCTGGTATATTACGCTCACGTACATTTAAACAACAAGAAACTGGCAGAAATACTTAAAAACCAGAATAATTTTAGGCAAAATTACATATTTACAATTTCTTTTTGCTAAATTCAAATAAAAAAATTGTGATAAGGCTATTGTTCTGTCCTAATTTGATTATTCCATTTACAAAAAGTATTCATTGACAGTGGCGTGCCCACAACTTTCTTCTGGGGTTTGGGTTGCAACTTACCTTCCGATTGTAAAGTTGAGAGAAAAAAATTGACCCACAGACAAAAAATAATTTTTCATAATAAAATTTCTTCGACATTACTTGAAAATATTTTTTTTCTTTAGTGTTTATGAGTTTTTTGGGAGGTTGATTAGTTTAACACGTCACAATTTTCATAAATTTATGTTTATTAATCTGTGAGATACCCATCAAAAAATAAGTAATTTTACTTTTCGTTTTTCAACTACAGGTTTACCAAACTCTTTGCCTTCAATTTTCTCGAAAACGGTTGCTTTAAGCGACTTACAATAAGAGTAACTTTTTTATGGAAAAAAGGTAATTGTTTTTAAATAATAGACCCACGTTGTAAAAAAATCAACCCCTAAAAAGTTAATCATAAATCAACCCCTTACCCTAGCAAATAAGTAATTTACCATTAGATTCAGCAGTAAATTTTATGTCAACAGGGATTTTTTTCGTAGTTTTATCGTGTTTTTTAGGCTTACAATTTCAACAAAACCACTTTCCAAGTTTACCCTTTTGACGCCCCTAAATCCCTTAATATGTATTTAACGACCCATAGTTATAGGAATTTTTTTTACTAGTTTTAGGAGTACTATCACCTCCCGAATTTTTTTACACTATTTCAATGACACCCTGTATAACTTACGTTAGACCGTTGATGGAATATGTCGGACCTGCGTGGTGTCCTGATCTGGTTTCTGATCAAAACAGATTGGAAAATGTTCAACGCTATTCGGAGAACGACTCGATGACTTTTTTTAAGAAAAACTGTAACCTACAGATTGAACTTGGTGATTCCACCAAAATTTTTAAACTTAAAAAAAAATTATTAAAGTATTAACTACAATTAAAAATGTTGTCTACTACGGTTACACAAGTTTCGGTTGTTCCGGTGTCAACCTTCGGGCCTTCGACGTCGCTCAGACGGCAGCTAGGGGGTGGATAGCTTACAAAAATTCCGAAAATAGTAGACAAATAAATAGACGCCAACTGGGTCTATATAGTGGCCAAACTATGATCCTATTTCCCCAAAAACCCAGTAAATGAGGAAAGAAATAAAAGACAAACCTCAACTTATGTTCCTTTATAAAGAAAAAAAATATTTACTAAATATACAGACTAATTACCTAATGGCTTAGGTAATCAACAAAAAAATTGGAGGAAATTAAAGGGAAAATTTACACTGTTTATGTATATGCATAACCCAAAATAAATTATTAAATCAAAATATGGCACGGTTCGTCGTTAGCTTGGTACCAGGCATGACGCATGCGCAAAATATTAATTTCCACCTTACATAAAAAATAAAATATAAAATAATAGTTAACTTAAATATTGTGCATAACCGCACCTATACTACATCGTATATTATAAACTAAACAGTAAACTTGAAATCCTTATAAGCTTATAACCCTTTCCAAATTGGAAGGCGATATCTGCTTAACTTTTGGTTAAGACCAAAAACCCAAAAGAAAATTATTAAACCATGAAATTTTATAATTAAGCATAATTCATACAACTAAACATTCTGTGCTCAAAAGTATAAATAATGTTGAGAATACCTTGACAACATTCGGTTGAAAGTGAATGTATAGTTTAACAATGCACGCATGAAACCTTCAATATAACGTATAAGAAAAACCTGATAGTAGGGTGTCTTCTTTCACAGCATTCCCATCTTCCTATCCAGAACGAGAAACATCCTTGTAAATCTAGCTACAAGTAAACTAGGTGGCTAGCATACCAATGTCCTGTGTTCCCTCGATTTGTCCACGATGAAACCGTTGAACTCCGGACGATATAACCCTCTGTGTACAACTGTTGAAATCCTGGGTCAACAACCCCCTGGGTGAAACTGTCGTCTAATCCTGGGCTAACAACCCCCTGGGTGAAAATTGTTGTCGTATCCTGGGTTAACAACCCCCTGGGTGAAAATGTCGACGAATCTTGGGCTAACAAGCCCCTGGGTGAAACCCTTTTTCGTAAAGGGTTAACTTGGTAGCCTTCCAAGGATGAGAAACACGTGAGATGATCCACAGCACAACAATATTCCACACTCCAAATGCTGTGAACTTCCAATTATTGCGTTAAAATCCTATAATAGATATGGGCTGGACCAATGACCATAGGAATTTACCAATACACTAAAATTCCTCTCAAAATACGAAATGTCCATTTACCCACAATTAACCATGAAGTAGAATCTAAAATCCCCTTTAATTAGGTAAGCCGATGAGGCTAAATATTAACAAAATTCTACTTCGACGCAAAATTCGTCTTTCTCGTGATTCAATACCCACTGACTAAAAAAATACGTCAGCCGTCCAAAATGGCCAAAATCCCTTTCCGATAAATTTCAAGCCAAGTGGGTTCAGAAATTCATCCTCAAGAATTCCCCACTATATAACTTAACAGACCATTTACGAAAGGTACCCTAAAAACTATATTTATATACAGTATAACTACATTTGGGAAACTGTTCCCGACAAAAACTAATACAACAGCAATCGCAAAAAAAATCCCTCACGACTGAAAATCGCTCATTGTGAAACTACCTTACCTCGGGTTCTGAGCCCGATATTGGAACGTACTACAAACATGACACTTGTCGGTGTTCTGTCGTCCAGTGACGTTTATGTCATTCACTGTCATAATTAAAAAACATTAACATAATTCTGACAGCTATAAACAAAAATAAACAAAGAAAATCTTAAAGAATGGTATCGTAAATAATTAACTACCCAAAGGTGAGACTATAATACATAATATGTATAAATTTACAACGAAACTTGGTCTATTTTTAGGAGAATCTGGAAAATTAAAACAGTGAACACTACACTGCAAATATGACCATTGTACAAAGTATTATACTAGTGGTGAGCTACCATCCTTTTACTTAGTGGTGAGATGAAATAAATTATAATAATGATGTCCGAAAGTTAGAATACAGGTGAAATTAGTTAATGACAAAAATAATAGTGATATCATCAATACGATTTTACCCTTTTTTTTCGTATGATTAACCAGGTAAGCCAAAACAATTTTATTAATTCGTGGGGCCAAAAATGAACGTTACAAAACTAAAACTAATTTGTTTGCAATAATAATAAAAATAATTTTAGATAAATGTATATCAAATGGACTTTTATGAACTCCTGTGTGCCATTTAAAAATAAACGCGAGACAATGTTAATCATAGATTTAATATACCCTATGTTGCGCAATAAAAAATATTCCCTGAATATATATGGGGCGGCAAATTGTCTGTTTATCCGGGGTAACATGAGAGCTAGAGCGGGCCCTGTCTACTTGCGCGATGCATCTGCATTTGCCTCGGACGATCGCATTGCTGATCCACTTCAATGCGACGTTGCCACATTGTTATTCGCGGCTAGGAAGATAAAGACGGTTGAGTCCGAACAATTAAAAAAATGACTAAGAAAAAACATCGGGTCGGTAGTGTAGCGGTCTAACGCGCTTATATTCATTTATAGGCAAGTTTATGAGTCTGAGACTGCTGAGCTTCGAATCCCAGACCAGACCATGTTGATTTTTAATTAAATTGCATAGTTCGGTTTAGGATTTGATGTGTGCCGTATTAATAGAAATTCAATTTCTGTTGATATGACATGCGGATTAAAAAAAAATCGTGATGCATTACCGTCTCGATGATGGTGGGTGAGGTTTTCCGGGTTTTCCTCACCTGTAAGTCAAATGGCACTATCAATCATCTTTAAGTCGCCCCGGAGCGCCACGGCAAATAATAATAATAGCCGTCCCCTCCCCTACACAAGTCGTTCAGTCGACTTCAGGGGTTGAAATTCACTCGTAAGGGGGTGAATTAGGGAGAGTATTATTATTATTATTATTATTATTATTATTATTATTATATAAATTACGATTTTAATAAAATTAACTTACTGTTGAGCTTGCTCCGTAGTATCATATGTAACGGCGACGGTTTGTGTGGTTGGATCTTTCGATGTCAATTTGTCACATGAAACTACACGTCCATGTTCGTTTAGGAGGTGTTCGATGTCCTCGAACCGTACTTGTGGACCCAAATTTGATATTATAATTTTCGAAGTTTGACTGCAACAAAACAAAAAAAACTATTAGAACGTCAGTCAATTTAACTATTACGGATTCACTTTAAAATAAACGATTTTAAAATTTTAGTAGTATAAAGTAAAAAAAGTTACGCACTTAACCATTTTAAATGTATAAAAACCTTTTACAGAATACAAATAACATGTTTCAGATATATCTAATAGAACTTAAAATACTTCAATGAAAATAGGGAGCGACTATGGTGGATATATATGTATATTAAAAATAAACAAAGTTATCGAGCCTATCAAACCGTCTGACGCCATATAAATATCGACTATTATCGCTGGTAAAAAAAACATTGTCTATTTTTGATAGATTGTATATGGTGACATTATAGAGAGTAAAAAATATTGTACAATATTATCACTTATCAAGAGATGTCAGCGAAAAAAATTAAAAATCTAGATTATAAAACTATAGTCTAGAGAAGGAGTGCAGTAATTTAATTTGCAGATTGTAGTACAGGTTCAAAGGTAGACATTTTATTTATACCTCATCTTTCAATGCTTATTTGTAGTTAAAATTAAAATTTTAATACATCTAGTCGGCCTAATAAAAGTTTTCGTTTAGATTTAATCATGTTTCCATAGTTTTTACTGTAAGAAACCTTTTCTTTTGAGAGATAAGTCAGACTCTCTTTATTTATAACCATATCGTATGTATTTTAATTAATTATAAATTTTCTACTAGTATATATGAGGCGTCTAAATGAAAAAGCAGATATTTGACACACAAACAGTTTGGAGAAAATCGCAAAAACTTGCCAATATCTTATAAATTGTTAAATCACCTTGCAATTTTGAAATGAAAATAAAAATTCAATAGTCATGTCAGTGCGTTTATAAATATTTCTAATTTATCGTTAAAAAGTTATTTTGCTAAAAAAGTTGGAAATGTCTGCTTATAAATTTAAGTAAAGAACAAATCTTTGATTTTCCAATAAAGATTTAAAAAAATATATTTGTCATTAACTATTTCTGAGAAGTGAGTAGAAATATTAAACAAGACATAGGTAACTAAACTATAGGCAATTTCCTTCATTATCATTCATATTCAATCATAATAACAATCTTCTTAATACATTGATGTTTCGAAAGATCATGTGACTTAAATGCGGGAACCGGATTAGTTAAAGACAAAAATGTCTGTGTTTGCAACTAACTTTTGTTTGCTTTTGCATCTAAGGCTAAAATTTCAACCACAAAACATTTAAACGTCTAGTTACGGTCCTGAGTGTTAGTTATTTATAAATCTTCCTCTTTTACAATAGAAATCCATGCCTAACTCATTTTTATCAAAAAATTACATTTAGAAATAAAAAATAACTCACTCTTCCACATATCATATTTTCATCTGCAAAAAATATTTAATAAATTAAACTTTCGTTACAAAAAAAAAAAAAACAGAAACGGCTTTTTAACAGAGAAAAACAAAATCATTTTGAAGAAACATGATTATTTTAGGAAAATAGCGGACGCAAGGAATCAGCATAAAAAGGTATTTTATTTAGATGAAACATAGTTTAATGTTGGACATACAGTAACAAAAATTTGACAAGGTACTTCCATTAAAACTAAAAAAGAAGCCTTTATGGAAGGGGTCTCTTATGGATTAAGAAATCCAACAGGAAAATGAAATCGTTTAATAAAAACCCACATTGGAAGCATCCATGGATTTTTGCCAGATGGTTTATTAATGTTAGATTCAAAGAAAATACAAGACTACCATGAAGAAATATATGGTCTCCTATATTTGAAAATTGGATTCAGAATATTATAAAAAAATTCTTGTTTGGTTTATCGTGTTGCAGCAACCCTAAACCTAAATATTTCTACTGTTAGTAGTATTTCGCAAAAAGTCAAGAATAATGAATGATTAAAAATAACACTGGATACGAGTGGAATTCGAAATTGTATTTATAACATGTATGAAACAAGTAAGACAAATCTATTTATCCAAATATAATTTATTTATATTACCTATAAAAGTTTCAATTTGTATACCTATCTACAGTAATATAAATACATACTTATTTACAGGTCAACGTATAAATTTGGAACCTTTGAGAGAAAAGTTGATTAAAAAACAAATGGTTTAATGGCTATATTGCATCATTGTGATTATATTAAAAGAATGAAGGGAAAAAGATAATCAAGACGTGGGCTGCAAAGAGTTAAATTTTTAAAAAATTATAGAAATAGAAAAGAAGCAGTTAGTTTTCATTGATGAAACATGTATCTTTCAAAATGGAACATTAAACAGAAATGTATGAGAAATTGCCCCACTCCCAATAAGGATAAGTTATATACCAATTGTAATATCTTTTTAAGAAGAAACATTCTTTTCATTACGACTAATCTTAATTACTTGTCCGTTCCGAGTTATATAATTATTAATTGTACGATAGACCAGTACTAATATTCTGTTATTGTAGTGCTTATTACAGGCAAATAATAGGTTGGAATGAAAATTCGATACGAGTGGGAGAACCATAAGTATAGAATTTTCATTCCGAGTAGCAGACTGTACTTTCTACATGGCCACAGACAGTAGTAGTTGAATACAGTAAAATGAAACTTTAAACAAAATTAAATATTTAATGTAACTTATGTTAAGCAAGTTTTTATTTAAATTATTTGCATACATTGTCAGTTTGGGAAAAATATCATCAAATTGCATATAAGAATCATTATATTTACCCATTTTTGAATTTAAATTCGACCTAACAAAAACACCTCTTATTTCTATTCGAGTAAATTTAAACTAAATACTAATATGTCGCGTAGAACTGTCAGTCATAAAATTCAAGACTATCTACGATGCGGGCGCGGTATTCACAGTTACAGTTCATCAAATTTCTAGAGGTGTTCGACGCCCAGACAGAGAACGCGCTACGTGTGACTAAGATAGCTATTGTACAGTCTGCTAAACAAGTTATTTTAAAAAGTTTTTAATATTTTTAGGTAATTAAATTTTAAAAGTGTGGAATAGTTTAGGGATTAAATTGGTCTGATTGGACTTTCTTAGAACGTTTTTAAAAGCAGCTAAAGATAGTATGTAGAATTGAAAATAATTATTATGCCATAAAAGGTGTTTTGGAATTCCTTCAACCTTTTGAAATTGAGTCAGAAAATATAAATTTTATAGGGTAGCGGAAAATACCTATAATTTTTTTGTAGGCCTTTGTAAATCGTGGAAATAGTTTATATTTTATTTCTACCTTATTAAGGAAAATGGTACCTATTATTAATAACGGTTGTTTCTGAAACATTACTAAAATTTTCGAAATTTTGTTTTTCTACAAAATAATAAACTATACTATTTAGAAAAAAATTTATTTCTCTTATAATTTTATAAAAAATAACAGGGGAATATTTACATTTCTTGATCTATTAAACAAAACGATAAATTATCTCGACGAATGACACCATGTTCTAGTACGGAAGCTAGCTTTACATTTTTGTTGGTGGTTTCATGGGTTTCATATCAATTTTTTTTAATTGTAGTTTACACGTACATATACCTCTTAACACTTGTTTGCTTTATTAAAAAAGTGTGTTGTTGTGATTTACGTCGAAATAAGTCAAAAACAACTTGAAACCCCATATAAAATCAAAAAGGAGAAACGGAAAAAAATTGAGCCTGTAAATGAACACAACTCAGAAACAAAAATAGCTATCTAATAATAAAAAAATAAAATTTGATTCTTGTGCAGCTTCATCTATATCATTAACTGTTTTTGGTTTTTTAATGGTTTTTCTTGGTGATGAAAATTCCGATATCTCACGGTTATCGATTCTTTTTTTCTCTCCAGAAATGCGGACGACAGTGTTTTTAGATACTCCTGTGGCTGCAGCAACACGATCATTTACATTTTTAAATGGTATTGAAGGTGAATTAAAGTTTCCTTCTCTTCTCATAAACTCTATAACATTGGCTATTATTTCGCGAGATTGACTGTTAATCACGCGGCCTCTTAATTTGCTATTAAACTCCATACTTAGGTTCTATTAAACTGTAATGAGCAAAAAACACAAACGAAAATAAAAGAAATGTTTTAGCGAAATTTACATCTGACATTTACGTCTGAATGAAATAGTGAAATACTTGATGCGCAGAGTGTACTTTCATTGCGTAAATCCGTCGGGATGCCTGTCAGTAGTGCTTTCTCTGTCTAGCCGTCGAAAGCCTCTAGAAATTTGATGAACTGTATTGGCCAGTACCTAGTAGAGTTAAAATGAAATATGTGTAAAGTACATAATAGGTAAGTGTTTTAGAACTTTCTTTCAATCTCAAGAGCGAAAATGTTTTATTTCTGTTATTTTAAGTGGATTCGGAAGAACTACATTCAGTAGTGGCCGTGGAGAAAAGCAATTATAATATCCGGGTATATCATATTATGATGCAGATTAAGATTTTATCCGCCATGTGTATCCCTTATCAAAGGGCTTTTACGTGTATGTTACACGGCCCCACGTATGACCTCCAAAGGACCAGATCCAATGGTCCGAGACCAAGATAATGAAGAAACGGTCCCGACTTATGATCTTTTATATAAAAATTACTTTTATACAGAAAGATGAAAATCTATTTTAGTTATAATTCAAAAATATTTTGGAATTTACAATGTGTCTCAAAAAGTATCTAAAAAGTATAAACAATGAAAAATTCTAAACATTACAACCGTTTTAATTACTTAGTACAATATAAAATGGAAGCAATAGATAGAAGGCATTTATAAAGCAAGCTAGTAGATGGCTTGCCTTTCATCTGAACTAAAGTTAGATCATATCCTCTATAACTCGGCAACTATGCATGTTTTCAATTCGAGTTTTTGTTTATTTGTTACCATGACAAGTGTCCCCAAGGTAAGAGTTTCTGGGGGGAATTTATTTCAGAACCCACTAACAAAAGAACTTCCAGACGATATTGACACATATACGAAATAGCAACTAGAAATAATTAAAACAATTTTTTTT